TGTAGCAGCGCAACATGCTTGCTTTCTTCTGCAGGCACCCTGGGAATTGTTCCCCTGTAAAGCCCGTAGTTTGGCATTGCAGACATAAAAAGAAATGTCTGCGAGTTTCAAGTCTGTCTAATGATACATTTTGATAGCTTTGGCTTTGTTGAGCTGTGCTTTTTATTATGTTTGTGATAAGGTTAAGACCGAGCACACATGCCACAGCGAGTAGCCCGCAGCCTTGGCAGCTCTAATGAGACAAATAAATGAATTTAGTGATGCCACATACAGCTCCTGAACGCTTATTATCAGGATTATTGTTGAACTGTTATGAATGGGGGAGAAAGAGAAAAAAAAGATGCCGGATTGGAAGGGGGCATGATTGGCTGATGTTACATATGTCCTTGATTACCTTCCTTCTGCTTTTATTCTAATAAGTGGCATTCTTTGTACTCCCTAGGACAGCTAGACAGTCTGACACACGATGAGAATAAATATTGCATGTGGTAGACATTAAGCTGTCATCCTGGAAAAAAAGAAGAGATGGAGAAATCCGTGTGGTGTTCTTCGGCGCTACACTTTGCCTGCTCTTGTCACAATTGTCACATCTTGATGACTCCCCCCACTCTACCCCAGCCCCCTTATTTTCTCTCGCCCAGTCAACTGCCGTGAATGACAGCATGGATACCCCATATAGAGAATTATTTTGGGTGATGTAGAATGTACTCCTCTGGGTTACTGTTTGAATTTCTGATGTTTGCTTCTCCTCCCCCCCCACCCTTCTCACAAACAGCCTTAAACAAGGTTCTCAACAACCATTATAAAGACGGAACCGGGGATGATGGTTTGTTAGCGTTTTATCTATCATGTGCAAACATTTAAAGTTGCGAGATTTGTCTTTAAAAATTTAACGGGTGTAGTTATCACAGAAAAGAAAGTTGTTCAAAAAAGCTTGTTACCAGCACACCCTCGAGGAATGATGTGAGATGATGCTCTTAATTAAAGCTGCTCCCATTGTGCCTGTACTGGGTTCTGTTTCCTCCAGCCTGTGATTGCTTTGAAGGCTGAAAGAAGTTGACAATATTGGAGAATTTGTGTGCGTGTGTGTGTGTATGTGTCAGATCTCCTTCCTTCCTAGAGACTGATGTGTAATGCCTTTCCATCCGGCCATGGCCACAGGGAGCAGAGAGCGTCTGCACTCTAGTCGCTCAGGAGCTCACCACTGGGAGGATGAAAAGCTTCCCACAGAGCCCCCGACTTCCCAGCCTCAAAAAGCCACCATGAGCTCATACCTCTCATCTCTGTCTCCCTTCACAGAGGAAGGGAAGAGGAGGGGGTTCGTATACGCTGCGTGCTGCAGCATCCTATCCCCTAAGGATGCTCGTCCCTGCAACCTGGGACCAGCAAATACGGAGAGGACTCTGGGTTTATTATTCGATGAGTCTGTGCCTGGCATGCAAGCTAGTAACACATACAGCTGATGCACCCAGGTTCAAGTGCTGGGCCCTCCACCTGTGGGTGTGTCTGTGATGAAGTTGTGCTGGATGCAGGTAGTGGATTACTCTTCAGGTCTGTCAGCATTCAATTGCATCTGAAAGGAGCACTCAAACTGGAGGTGATGGCCCACCTTTTAGAGGCTTAACTGGCTAAGCACTCCTAATAAAGCCAACCTGTATGAATGTATGTCAGACACAGGCCCAGGTCATTGTCTCAGGTAGCTGCCTCTGTACTTTAGAAACTCCCATTGTTTTTCCCTCCTGAGCCATTTAAGCAGATCAAAGCTCCGACAAAGCCCAGGGAAGCCCCAGGCATGCAGAAACACAGGAATTATCTACCCCCCTCAGGATTCCCACACAAAAAGACAAATAGACTAGCCCCAGAGGGTGGCCCCCTGTGGGACATCTCCTTTCAGAGCCAGCCTGTTGTGGAAGCTCCAATTGTTTTTGTGATTTCACAATATATTGTGCTTTAAATTAGATGTATTGTAAATAAAACAGGCATCAAATCTAAAGCTCAGAACAAATAACACGACATGTTTCTCTGTTTGTAAGATAAACAGATAATGATTCATATTTGCCGTGTTTTTATCAGTTAACACAAACAAAAATATTTATACATTCATATCATGTTTTAGATTGTAAAGTTTGATAAAAGCATATTTAAGATTTTCCTCCCTGAATTGAGAGCAGCAGGAAAAGCACAAACATGGCTTGTTCTTTAGCTTTGTTTGAGCCTTCAAGCTGGTGAATGATTAGCAGAAATAATGTCCCTGTCACCCTTAATCACATTAAAACGTGGTTAACATTTAATTTTTCCCACTTGATATGCAAAAATTTCCACTTGATTTGCAGCAAAGGCCATTGGAATTCCATTATAAAAAGAATAAAAATTTCAGGCATCATTTGTTCAGAGAGGGATATCAAGACCAGAAAGTGCTGAATCTTTCTATTAACCGAGCAGTGAGAGATGGCACTCAGTGCTGGGATATAATGGGAGACTGACAAGACACAGACACACATACACAATCTTTCTCACTGGATTTTTTTTTTTTGTGTGTGTGTAGTTTAGACTTGTAAAACATTAATGAGGATGAACAAATACTCTATGTATTATTTCTATTATGGAAGTTCACAAATCCACATTTAATATTTTTAAATTTTCTCTTAAACATGTGGATTAAAAGAAAAGAAAGCAGCCAAAAAACCCTAAAAAATTCATTCATTTCATAGAATGACTGAAAGATAAGAACAAAAAAAAATGCAGCATGTTTTACATAAATATTTTCCCCAATTTACACATCCACATAAAATTTCTGACAAATAATTGGAACGGACATAAATACAAATTGCAAAGTGGCATACATAGACAGCGGTGAAGTTGACAGAATTGGTTTTGGGAGTCATGTTGACGGAGCATCAAAGCTCTTAATTGACAGTGCTTTGTTTCTGGAGTTGAGGGAAGGGGGTGTTTCATGTTCCTGTGGCAAGGTGTTTGTCTGGTCCTGTGTCACTCAGTGCAAGGACCCAGAGACCCCCGCGCTCATTTGCAGCTCACGTTCTCCGTCTCGGCTTCACATTATTAAAATCATCCCTCAGCCTTCTACCAAGAGCCTCTTTGTTACTTGGCTGGCTTGGCTCAGCTCTGTCAAGTCTTCACCAATTACAGTCTCAGGTACAATGGTCTATTCAAAGGATCACAGCCCTTGACTGGTGTGGAGAGAGTGATTTGTGAATCATTATTCAGCCGCCTGTAGAGTACGCAATACCTGAGGAATGCAAATAACGTGCCACCAAATAGACAGCTGTGCTGCTAAAAGTGACAAACTACAGCTGTTATTATCTCAGATTGGATTTTTTCCCCTCTTGAAGCGCCCGCCATCTCCTGTGTTTTCAGGGTTTTTGGCTTTGACTAAATGTGTTTATTTTTCTGCCTTTTATTGGTGAGACATTGGCGACTACCTTATTGCAGTGGCAGTCAAACATCAGCTCCCGCATCCACAGTGCGAACAGAAAGGGAAATATTAGGTTACGGCTTTTAATAGATGTGCATCCAAACAGACAGACAAACTGGCATATGATGCATTTCAAATTTACCCTGCAGTGTTATTCTAACTTGTTGGGAAAAACATCCAATCAAAGCAAAACTGTGCTCTTCCTGCGCCCCGTTACCCTGTCATATATTGTATATTGATAATCATTAGGTAGGAACAGCGATATGGTGCTGTAGGTGCTAAAGCGGTGACATTGTTATTGGAATAGATGTGGTATTGAGGTGTTCGGGTCCCTCCCAGTCTTTGATTCTTATGGGCTTTAAACAGGAAACTAGGATTACAGATAATGACAGGGACCCCTTAGAATCAATCCAGCCTAGGAGCTCTGTCAGGGACGCCGTGTGAAAATGGATTTGTGTGATGCTGTTCTTTAAAACCTGTCCAATCCCAGCCTGAGAGCATGTGGGGCTAATCTCATAATTGCCTTAACCCCCTTATATTGTTCTGACTGAGAGTTACCATTAAGTGCGAGGATATCTTTGTCCTGCAATGTCAGGTGTCCTGCTGGACTGGAAGACAAAAAAAGAAAAGAAAACTCAGGTGAAGAGAATGACAAAGACATTTATGAGGAAACACTTTGGCTTTATGGTAAATATTTAGTTGGGGTGAATGAACTCTGTTTGTCTGTTATAGTAAAAGCTACAGGCAAAAGACCAAAACATGGACAGAAAGTAACTCAGTACATTTACTCAATTGCAGTCTAGTACAATTCTGAGGTACTTTACGCTTTATATTTCTACTCCACTACATTTCAGAGGGAAATATTGTACTTTTTTACTCCAATACATTTAATTTCCAGTATTTTTCATACAAAAGATATAATCAGCTTCTGGAAGATGATGCATTGTCCTCTTACAAGTCATTTAATCTGTAATCAAGTTCTTTAAATGTAAAATCATGTTTCATTTATGCAGCAGTCTGCCTCATTGTTTTTTCTACAAATACCTCTTTCATGAACATATTTAACTAAGTTTATCTAAATTAAAAACAAGTTATAATATTTTTAATGCATAAACAGAATTTTTTTTCACTTGATTTAAGAAAATACGGTTTTAAGACTTAAGAATTATATGCAGATTAAACTGCCCAACAGTACAAAAGGTATACCTAGAATCACCCCCTCTTATCCAACAGTAAAATGCTACTCACACATTATTGCTCCACTAATAATGACCCTTTTGATGTAAATACATAAGGGTCCATTCTGCAAGTATATTTAGCTGATAATGCTTTTAATTCAGTAAGATTTTTGAATTACTTGTAAAGAAGTATTTGTTTGCTTCTGTTAAATCTTTGTGAATATCTGCTCTTTGGTGGAAAAAAAAGTCAAACTCTCTGAAAGAAACTCTTTCAAACACTCATATGTTCGTTCAGCTGCTCTCATGAATATGCATGCCCCAAGCGGATAACAAATACCTTCATGTTAATCAAGTCCTCCAACTAGTTTTGTGGCTGCTGATTTTACCAGGTTGGTGAAAATCAAGGAGTGGGTGGACAGTCATGACCCCGGAGCCTTGGTCATCCCCTTCAGCGGCGGCCTGGAGAGTCAGCTACAGGACAAGAGTGAAGAGGAAAGGCAGAAGTACTGCACAGAGCACAAGACGCAGAGGTTAATTAGCATTCAGTCTCCCCACACTTTATTATCAGCTGTGTCCTCCATGCACTCCTTTAATTGCATGTGCTGATAGAATAATAAATGGCAGAGTAATTACCATTATAAAGCAAAGGATCCCTCTTCTTACTGAGCAACTCAGTCAAAGGGTTTTCCTCTAAATTAAGTTTTTAACTGTCATCTGTCATCTGTAGGTATAATTATAACTTGGGCATTTTGGGTTTATTGTTCTCATGTGAAAACCTCTATAGAGAGAAAAATTGTGACAGCAGATTTTTTTTTTTCTTCTTGGTGCAGAACGAGGCATCGGATTGAATTCTTAAAAATGCTAAATGAGTCTACAAGCTTTGTAATTAATCAAAGAAACCATTGGAGAGTTGAATGTCTTATGTGAAACGAAGTGACCCATCTTATTCACTTAATGAGTTTATATTGGAATGAATGGGGCCTTGCCACTGAAGTGAACTTTGTCTAGGCATCAGTGGCAATAAATAATACTTAAACTGTTCAGACCCCCCGATTCAAACTGAAATATCTCTCCACCAGTGCCCTGAGCAGGATCATCAAGGCAGGCTACGCAGCCCTGCAGCTGGAGTACTTCTTCACTGCTGGACCAGATGAGGTCCGTGCATGGACCATTCGGGTAAGAGCCAGCTTCCTGCTGTGCACATCCACGTGAGTGAGGGGGTGTGTACCAAGCACACACAACACATACACACAAACGAATACACGCACACTGTCCCACGTTCCACCCTGCTGGCACCCTTACTGATATCACACACTTTCAACTTTGTCATGGTTGTGCTTTAGCCAGTCATTACAGGCCAAGGATAACTTCAATTACTGGTGAGCTGCTGAACAGTGAAAGTGGGGGCTACATTGATTGAGGAGGGCAACAATTGATTTTGCCCATTACGTCCATGAGAATGTTTCCATCCTGTGCAGATCTGCCTGCCCTCCTCCTGCCGCTGGAGATAAGGAGCCTGTGCATTGTGCCTGCCTAATCTGTGTGACGGAGGTTGTCTGTGCCAAAATTGATGTCGCTTTTCATTCGACTGTTTGTGGGCCTTGCTTCGGGCTCCTCCTCCCTGTGTGTCTCAGTTTACTGAGCCTGGGCCGCCAAGAGCTTTGTGCAACGGGATCGCAGGATTTACATCAATACAGATGTTGGCTTTGCATGCTGGTGTTGTGAGCAAATAGAAGAATTGAGTGCAGATATAATAAGGTATTTAATTGGGCAGGAGCTACATATTATAAGTCCATGTAGGTGGTTTAAAAAAACCCCAGCAAAGTAACTTTCTGAGAAACTTTTTTTTGAAGACTAAAGATTTGGGTTGTATCCTGTCACACTTAATAATATTCATTCTTCCGTCCCATTAGATTTTTCAAGGGGTTGCAATTTTAAACCAAACCTTCACAATGCAGAATGCCTTCAATTCCCTAAACATAACTTGAATGACCATTTTCAAAAAGCATTGCTATTTTCGACAATGGCATGTATTCAAAGAACTTGTCGCCAAGCGGATCATTAAAGTTTTGTTCCCTGAGCTACTTCAGTTTTCACATTTAATAACAAATATTCAAGAAATTCTCCATGTTATCTTTGTTCAATATTTTTGTTGAATTGGCTGCTATGAATTCTGTTTATTTGGAAGCAAAAATTACATAAAATTGACATTGCTTATTAATTTACAGGATGTACACGAGAAGCCGTGTTTGTGTTGTAAATTATACATTTTTTTCAAGTGGTTTTTAAAAATCTCGAAAAGCTTTTTGAGATGTCAACCTGTATTTTTGTTATTCTCTTCGAAACTTAAGAACTTCTAAGAACAAGCATCAGGTTTTAAAATGTCTACAGTTATAGGAATTTGAGTGTTATTTGTATGCTTAATCAGTGTGCATGATGGATAAACATTACAGCTGATTTTTCAAACTAGATAAGACCATGCGACATTTTTTAAACTTACAAAATAATTAAAATTAAATGTATATTCAAATTTAAGTACATCTATTTAACCGAAGAAATGTAACCATATAAACAGCATTAGGAGTGAATGAGTGTCCAAGCACTGACTGTGTGCAGACAAATAATATACAACATATATAAACAGTTCACCACCGATACAAACAGGCCAGACAATTTCATTTCATTTTCCTGAAGCGCAATATAAATTGGTGTATAAAGTAACCTCACCACTGATGGCGGGACAGCACGAGAAAAGAAACGGGGGGGATAACGTGCAACAAACCTCACATCACAGTCATACAGTATGAGCCTGCCAACGGGACGCCCTATACTGATACCAATATTCACAGTTTAATCAGAAATGCCAATTTTATTTGTAGGCAGCAAATGGAAAACTACAATAAGAGAGTTTTTTTTTTGCCTCTTACAGGATCAGATAATTATTTTATTGCTGTACTAACTGATTTAATATTAATATTGAATGTACTGCTCCAAATGATGTGAAACATGTGCACACAAGACTTTTGTAAACAGCAACTTTTAGTAGATATTTTCATGATGGTTTCTCAAACAGGCCAGAGGGGTAGGTGAGCTCACTTCCCTTTTTTTTATGTCAACACAGGACACATTACATTTTAGCCAGATGACATCACCAGGTTTAGTTGCGCACTTGTCTCAGCATGACCGATGTCCTCGCTATTTACAAAAAAGTCCTGAAACACTTCAAAGGCATCCTCAAAACACTCTCGTCCCCCACGACATAACTGATTACAGCCAGCCTTGATTGTGTGTGAGGGGCATTTAGTCAGGTAAGCATCAGTGAGTAACTATATTAAGCCAATACATCTTGCATTGTAAAAACTACACTCAGTAATGTCGTGTTCCTAAGCCCTTTAACATGCTTTATTAGGCAGCCTCGAGGTGACCATTATCTATCAGCCTGCTCTGCATAGCTCTTAACTAGGACAATGTGGGTCTCTTGTAATGCTCGGTATGAAAAAAATCCCTCCCTTAATCTATTTTTCTCCAGATAGACAAACCTTGATGCTGATTAATGGTAGTTAAACTCACAAGCACTCCGTCAATGAGATTGCAAAGAGATGGTAATGTATTAGAGTCATTAAATACGCATCATTCTTTTGGCATGAAATATGTTGACCCCAACCTGATTATATACATAATTAAAACTGCTCAACAGTTCCTGAGCACAGAGCTGCAGAGCAGAGAGAGAGAGAGAGCGAGCAGGTCGACAGGCAGGAGTCATAATGATACACAGCAGCCACGTCACTTATTTGGGTCATTTGTCATTTCCGCCCAGCATTATTTCAGCGCATATAAATTGCACATTTTATCAGTCACCAGTTGTGTCTCAGAGTTTTAACGAGGATTAAAGGCACAAAGAACTATTAAATTGTTATTTTGTTGTTTTGTAAATTGGTATCTGAAATAACTTTAAGGGCACATCTAAATGTATGTTTTGATACAATCATGTCAATTTAAATACATCAAAAACATCCTCCAGCAGCCCTGCATCCACCACAGTGAAAACATTATTGAAAGGTTTGAAATGAATTTTCAATGACCAAACTCTGCTGTGCCAAAATAGTGAGGCCTAATGCAGTGAGGTCTATACCACCATGGCCTCTCACTGCAACACTGGGTCTTCTTGCTGTCATGACCAGAGAGCCGAGCAGCGACCCACAATGAGGCAAGATTGCTTGGACAGAAATCAATACCACCACGGAATGGGAATCAGAAGGCATTGATAGCAGTGCTGGGTCCTTATCGGTGTCCAGGCTGCTGCCCTAGCAGGGCACAGCCGAGTGGAAAGCTATCCAGAAATCAGGACTGAGGCAAGAATACCCCCGACTGAAAACACCCCCGAGTGATGCTCATGACGCTATCACCCTATCAAACACCATGTCGCTCGCATGCTGTAATCCATCTTCTCCAAAACAATTCATTTGTCCTCTCTTTTCCTTCCCTGTGACAGAAAGGAACTAAGGCTCCACAGGCTGCGGGGAAGATCCACACAGACTTTGAGAAGGGCTTCATTATGGCGGAAGTAATGAAATTCCAGGATTTTAAAGAGGAAGGCAGCGAGAACGCTGTCAAGGTGAGCAGTCAGGGTGCCAGAGGATGAGGGGAAGTCTCCTGTGATCAGTGGAGCTGACAGTCACCACACAGCTCCTACTGCAAACTGCTCTTCACCTTTACTCAGGGGAAGAAATTACTGCACACACTCCAGCACCACTCCTGACAAGCCAACTGATTCTGGCTCTAAACACTGCCATTCTGCTCCAGCTGTGCATATCTTTATCACAATGTGTCTTAACTGGCTGATGGTAGCTCTTGCTCGTGGCTCAGCACAGTCGCTCAGAGGTAACACTTCTTCACCTCACCAGGCATTTATCAGATCTATAGAGTGCGCTGTTAGCTCAGAGCTCTCTGTTGCCAAATCCCCAAGCCACTGTAGCCATGTGACAGTGATATAAAGCGGCAAGTTAAATAAAGTGTGAAATGCCTCAAATAAGGACTGTTTCATGGATGGGTAGCGCAGAAATGTGACTTGCATATCTTATTTTTATGATGGCCACTGTTTGTTTTGACCTTTTTAACTGGGGTGTGGGTTGTTCATGTGCACACTCCTGTCAAATGTAATAACTGATTTCATGGTGAATTTGTGAAGACAATAACTGGGCGCCAACGACCGCAAAAAAAATGCCTCAAGATGCCTTTCTTTCCTACTACCTAAGTATTTTTAGGTTTGGCATTTATTTTCACATTGGCAAACTGTAATTTAGTAATTGAAGGTACAGAGTTAATAATCAGTTAATCAACACTGTAGGATGCCTTTCATTTCAAAGATGCTCTTTTTGTTATATATATAGACATATTTTTAAATTGAATTCTCAGTTAATTAAATTAAAGCAGGAGGGATTTTACCCTTGCTATGTGTGACATTTGTGAGCCGCAGCTGTAAAGCCATGCTGTTACAATCCCACTATCGCCACCATCAACTCTATGTGCCCACTTACAGACTCAGCTAATGTAATTATGGTGACACACAGGGACCTGCGGAGAACGATGTGGAGAAGGAAGCACTATGAAAACATTTAAATCTCTTTAGTATTCAAGCCTTTTTTAATAAGTATTTAATGCAGCGGCAGTGTATTGTCCACACCCTTCATAAGCTGCAAACAGAGGGTGAAATGTGTGGGTCTCTGGGGAGTTTCACTATTGTTATCCGAGGTTGAGATCTGAGTGTCAGGTCCTTACTGCATGCTCTCTTACTAATCCCTTTTTGGGCCTCATAAGAACATGGAGCGTTTCTGACTGTGGCATTAAGGTCCATGCTATTTAATGCCAGTTGTGGGAATAGGCTGTCTGAATAGGGCCAGTGTACGGGGATATCACATTATTAGTAATCATATCTGCTTAAGCCAAGCTTGCTGCTCCAGATGGCTGCTTTCAAGTGCAAATGAACCAGTTAGACGTGTCTGGTTTAATACATACTCAGGAATCACAAATAGCCATTGATTTTTTTTTCCTGTCTCCCTCTCCATCCAGTGTTTCTGGTGGTATTGAGCTTGGATTAAATGGTCTCCTGAGCCTTTAAAGGGACATTGATTCTTCTAATTAATTGTGCGCTGTGCAGAACCAGAATGCATAAACCTGTCGGTATTAGCACTTCAAGTCAATTATTTTGAGTTTGCCGGGAAGGAGAACAAACACTTACTGTATACAAAAGAAATGTTAGAACTTATTTTGTTTCCTTGAGAAGTTTGATAGTGCTGTAATCAAAGACTTATTAACATTTTGTGCTTGTGCACATGAAACTGAAATGGGCAGAGGAGAGGATTATTCACTCAGTGGGAATTCGGGCACCCCTTGAACAAAAACATGGATGCAAGTTTGTGTGTGTGTGTGTCAGTGAGAGAGAGAGAGAGAGAGAGAATATGATGTTTACAATTGGAGTAAAGTCATTGTAGGTGATAAAATAGATTAGATACTAATTCTGAACTATTATATTTTATGTACGCTGTTATGATGTACTCTATGTAGTCCATTATACCCATGAATGGAAAGCTAAATTATGTAGTAATCTAAGCCATCTATAACCACTATATCATACAATATTTTGTTTATATATTTTTTTTAAATTTAGTTTTTCTTTGTTGTCTTACAGGCAGCTGGGAAATACAGACAACAGGGAAGAAACTACATTGTTGAAGATGGAGACATCATCTTTTTCAAATTTAACGCACCAAATGCACCAAAGAAAAAGTGACACAAGAAACAAGATTTGTTTGTTTACATAACTGACTGTACTTGTTATCTCACCCCCACCCCCGCCACCCCTCTTTTTTTTCTGTCTTTGGCCTGACACCCACTGCCACACTCTCACTTTCTGTTTCCCGTCCTGTAGAATCAAATCTCCCCCCTCTGTGCCAAAGCACAGGTTCAGTAAACTCTGACAGCTTTGCTATTTAAGATCAGGATCGGCCCCCACTCCAAATTGTAGCAGCATTTGAAGGAGCATATTACTCTCCAGATACTTCATTAATCTCCATCACGGGTGCCAGCACTGACACAGCTGACAGCGGGGACAATGCCACCTGCTCCTCTCCCCCTTCAGCAGATAATGCATGTTTTACAGTAGCCCAGATGTCTACACTCAATAAAACATTTGACAAAACCAGTCTGTGTGTGTTTTGGGATGTCTGTATTGAGTGGGAAGCTGCATGGTGATGGTGATAGCGGTCCTGCCGACCACTGATTAGAGAATTAAAAGACACAGCTGACATTGACTGTAGCAGAGAGGAGACAATTATAATTAAATCTGTTAAGTGATGCTGATTTTAGAAGGGCACATGCAGGATGCAGGTGTTTCGGCCAAAAAGAACTGGTCAGTTTATAGGATTATTTGTAAAGTGATTGAGTTAACCTTTCATTTACAATTTTTATTTAATTTATGATTGATGAATATGTGAGTCCTCTACTTCACTGTTACTATAGTACTCCTGCTATCCTTAAATATTGACAAAAATAGCATATTTGTTATATCTCTCATCCCTGAACAATGAAGGCAAATACACCTAGAAAAAAAAATTCATTCAAACTGTATTTTCCCCCCAAAAGTCCACATTTTATGATATTCTGTATAGTATGAAAATAGAGGTTGACACAATCCACAAGCACAACCAGAAAACGATTCCTTTTGTCTGAAGTAGTGTTTTTCTCGCCCCTATACTTTGTGTGTAAGTGTTTGTGAAGCATTTATGCTGATGGAATTGTATGGCTGCAGCCGCAGTGCTCCAAAGTAAGATTGTATTCTCCGTGGGAGTCCGAACAAAGAGCTGTAGATCAGCAGTGCTTTGTTGAATATCTTGTAACCATTAAGACTGCAGAGAACAAAATGGCCTTTTGATGGGAACAAAAAGATTGAATAAAAATGGTCATTTTACAGAGATAGTATTGCATATCCAAGTTTTGGATAGGATGTTTTATGGAGCCGGGCCTGTGCTAGCACTACAAAGCACAGTGTTTGTCATGGAAATAAGGTGGATTATAGTCTTTAAGGTTTAAGATCAGTGGCAAAATATAGGATAGTGTTTATTGTGGTTAGATGGAATGAAACACAGATGACAACATGTGTATATGAAATAACATTAAGCTTTGCTTGGTAGCTTCGGCGTTAACCACTGATTTTAATCAAAGATATTTCATGCTGCAGAGCAAGGAAGTCTTTGCTACCAGCATATACAGCCAACATACATACTGTCTTCTATACAACAACAGGCTGTTTTTCGGCACACTGTTTTCTAAGTGAAACCATACAAATCCTCTGGAGAGCTCAATGGGGGCTAAAGACAAAACTGTTTTTGCATTCCTCCCAGAGTGGTGGTGGTGTTGGCTAACCTAAACCCTGCATAGAAGATCATTCATCTGCTGTACTTTTGAGGCTCAGGGATTGACGAGTTGTTCCCAGTGGTATGGGTCGTGGAGTATTTTGTTTTTCATAAAGTGACAATAAATCTTTTCAGAGTGAGTAATAAAGCTATTTAGAACCATGCAGATGTTGCATAGGAACAAAACACCATAACAAAGTCTCTTGTTCTGTAAGTACGTCCCCAACAGGCTGTTTGGGGGGCTTGATACTAACAATTTTGCTGTCACAAAAGAGGCAAGAATTAATGAATTATAAACTCACTGGGTGTCCTTACTGACACACATTTCGAAAGAATTCATGCATACATAACCGCCAGTTATTCACGAACATGATCAGATGACGTAGGCAGATTGTAAAAGCACTCTAACTGGTATAACCTCCAAGAAATAAAAACAAGTCCAGAAATGTGACAGATTCTCTGTTGGTACAAATGTTCTGTCAGCACCATCAATCAAGCGGTGCCACTCTGCCCAGAAGGCAAACCACACTGGCATCAAACCAAGAAGGTCACGGAGTGGAAAGCTTGCTTTAAAACACACACCCAAGAAAATAGACCACGGCCTGCTGTTGTAAATCACATGCACACCAAAGACTTTTGAAGAATTAAAAAAAGGAATGTATGAGTTATAACAAATAAACATATAAATAACTATGGCATTTACAGAGCAGTTACTGTGCACAAGGGATTGTGTTGGTAAATTTAATGGTTATTATAAACGTATTGTATCATGTCATTACAGGGAGGAAATTATCTCTATTTTGGATGACAATAAAAGAGTTGCCATGTTGTAATTATTGCTATTGTGTGACTTTTCTGTCTGACACATGCACTATATACTCTACACAGATCAGACGTGAAATCAATATAGAATCAGGATTTGACTAAAATAACACTTCATGTTAGTTTGAGTTTATGCAACAATTTCCTCTCATTTGCATTGTACTATCATTATTCAACTCTGGGTTTTGATTTATTGCTCTCTCTAGTGATAAAACACTGCCGGTATAATGTTAATAGATAGGAATGCCATAAACAGCTCAGAGGAGAATCAAAAGGTTGACTAATTTAGTTTATCTGCAGTGATTATTGCATGTCTGCAAACTTGACTCATTATTAAAATGGCTTTTAATTGTTACCTGTGTTATTAAGATGTTTTTTGCACAAAAAAAAGGGCCTAGTGTGTAGGATTTAGTGGCATCCAACAGTGTAGTTGCAGATTGCAACTAACTTACCTCACCCTCCCGTTTCAAGAGTCGAAGTGAAACTACAGTGGCCACGAAACTCGCAAATAAACATGAAAGGCCCTATCTAGTGTTTGGTTTGTCTATTCTGGGCTACTTTAGAAACATGCTAGTTCAACATGTAGGCCCCCTCAAAAGAGGACCTGCTCCCTCTGTAGATAAAAGCCACTTGATGCCAAAAACACTCATATGCACCCTTATAATACCAACTCATGTTACTGTACATATTGTAAAGTATATTACTATGAACTGTACATAGTAACCTTTTATTGTCACTTGTTAGTCTATACATATTCAGTGGCCACTTAATTAGGTACCCCTGTACAATCTATTGCAATTCAATACAACAGTTCTACAATAAATCTAGCTAAATATGTGATGTTCAGTTTTTGTTGACATTGTCAGAAATGTTTAAATGTCTATGTTTATTACTGATGTCATAAAGATGGTGGTGGGCTGGATTACGTTAAACTGAGAGGTGTTCCTAATTTTTTTGTCACAATATTACAAACACCTCTGAATATAAAACAGTCCAGTACAACCCCAACACTAACTACGACCTCAATGCTAAAACATGTAATTGAATTAACTACTATATGACAGTGTAAAAAGAAAAGGCAACATATAAGAAAACATTATGGCATTAGATTGTGCAGGTGCATCTGATAATGTGGCCACTGAATCTACTTCTCAACAGACACACACACATCCTGCGTCTGTAGAGAGAGAAACTTATTATATATCCTGTTTTTCAGTTGTATTTGCATACACTTGTACTTCTTGTAATGCAACCAGACATTGCTCAGCAACAAATACTGTATATGTTTGTTGTCTAATTGTTTATGTAGCCTACATGATCTAGCAAGAAAATCTATATGTATGTCTGCTTATCTTTGTTTAACCTTGTTGTATTTGTTTAATTGTGTAGTATGAGAGCTGAAAACTGGAGTCAAATTCCTTGTATGAGCCAATAAAGTTGATTCTGACATTAAGTGCATATTGGAAATGTGACCATATGCTGTGTGTTAAAAACATGTTAAACTTCCACAGTAAATAAAATATTATAAAAAGAAAACTTGCAATGCATCTGCCTTTAACAGTTAATTCTCAGTTCCTCAGACAAAGAAGAGTAAGACTGTTCCTGTCTCAGGCTCTTCAGAGTTGTCTATAACACATATTTGATATTCCATCCACATGTCTCCAAGCTGCACCAGTTTCAATTCTCTCTCTCAGGTCCCATTTACAGTGTCCCACGAGGTGCCTCCAGCAGGACATGTTTCTCTCCGTGGGGTCACTCTCTCTTGGACTGGCCTTTCATAAAAACAACTGTCAATATGTTAATACGAAACACTCCGAGCCATTGTGGACTCACTCAGTTACTCCTCTTATCCTTCACAATTCTCCACTGTGCCACAACAACAACGTCTGCTCCCAGGAGATTTTGCAAGAACATTTGTTAAAAGGAATAAATGCGATTTAATTTGTGTCATATTTCCCCACAATAATGCTAAAAGAAAGCTATAAGATCTGTGTGTAGCCTATATTTACTGTTATATATATATCACGCTGAATACTTATAGATGTGCTCAAACTCCCACTGGGTAATTGCTCCACAGACTTCACAGATTTCTCTCATGAGGTGAATACAAGGTCTGTCAATACAGTCTCATTTCCTTTGTTTGCAGCTCGAGCTGGAGACAAAGCTCACGTCTGAAGACAGACACCATGGCAGGTATGTGTCTCATGTAGGCCACTGTGTCCACCAAGGTGTTGCATTTGTGCTGCTTTTGGGATATTTGACTTTTCGCTTTAACTTGGAGGTCTTTGTAGAAATTGTTGATACGTTTCCAAGGACTCCTGGAGTAAGACAGACATAGCTGCAAGGTTTTTCTAAAGCTGTTTCCATTGGCCTGTGTTTACCTGACACTTGGATTGACAGCAGAGTGATTGGAAATATCCACCATTCACTGCCGTGAGCTGCTGAGTGCACGGAAAGTGCTTTTGTAGTCTGGCTGTAATGGGCCAAGTTTGAATTGAAGGTTGAGAGAAATAGCCTCACTGCGGTCGCGCACTGTGAGGAACTGACACACCACAAATAATACTCAGAAGTGGGTTCCTGATAGCATCACAGGCACAGAGCAGGTGCAATAGCATGCAGGTTCTCATTTCAATGCACTTTCACAATGTTGTACTGTGCACAATCAGATGGAGGGGAAGAAATGCAGTCAAATACAAACTCAGATTGTGTCTCGATTGTGTTTTTTCTTTCTTTTTTCTCTCTCTCTCTCTCTCTCTCTCTCTGAGTAATCAACACAAAACACATCTTAACACTCAACTGCTGATCATTTTCTTCTTTCTTCTCATAAGTGCCACTATTAGTTTGCAAAAACAGAGCAAACCCATTATGATAAATTAAATTAATGGCAGAATTCAGATTCTTCATAGTCATAATTTCATGTGTCAGTGTCATAAATAGAGTAAATCTGTTGTATAAACTTAAAAATAGG